TAGAGTAATAAAATTAAGTAAATATCCACAAAGCAATAAAAAGATTACAAAGCAATAAAAACAAATGAATATTAATAAAGCAATAAAATGGTCATAGAACAGTAAAAATAACTAGGTAATATTATACCTATAACTAGATAACATTATAACGTAACTGAATAACACTCTTATAAGAGTGTTATCTAGTTCTTTCATTTTTTAAGTAACTGCTTTCTATTATTAACTATTAAATATATACAACCAACAGGACAAAAAACTAATTGAGTATGGGATAATGTTGATATTAATATTAGTAATAATAAATACAGATATTATCAAGTTCTAGTAGAAAAGAATGACAAAAAAAACTATTTGTGAAAATCAGTTTAGACCTCTTTAGTTAACAACTAATATTAGAAATCATCTAAATAAAATTCATCAAATTTATATAGTTAATAATCCTAAAGAAGATATGGGTTGATTACTAGAAAAATTAGATTTCAGGAATTTTTTAACAAAATTAAGATTTTTATTGCATTTTAGTTCTTGATATTATTAGATTAAAATGCATTAAGCTCTTAATTTTAATCAAAAATTTCTCAGAATCTGATTTTTCTAGAAACCCTTTTATATGACCAATAAAGTTTATAAACTTGTGAAATATACAAATCTACTAATAAATCATATATATCTAAGTTATTAAAATAGATAGTTAATGATTTACAGCCTCTAATACTTTAACATTTATTTAATTATGTAAAGCATAGATAATTATTTTCTTGTATTATGTATTAGTATAATAAAGAAAAAAATATTATATTTGTAAAAGAATGTTTATTTTTTGAAATAGAGCACTCAATAGAAACTTATAATTTTACAGTTGACCTTTAGATACAATTTTATAAACTATATTTAGTGTGACAATCTATTGGTTAATATTTAATTTTGAATTTTATTAAGGATTTTTAACAAATACAAAATTTTCTTATAGATATTCTGTTAATAAAATTGCAGAATTTCTTCATAAATTGTTTAAAAAATAGAATTTAACTAATAAGATAATTTCAGAAATTAGTGATAATGCAAATATATAATAATTATATTATAATAATTCAATTATTAACTGCTTACATTCTTTAACTTTCAATAAATAATGAATTCAAAAATGGCATACACTTATTAATAAAGCTAAAATATTTAATAATATACTTATTTATCAAAATAAATATTAGAAAATACTTTAATGTATTCAATAATTAATAATAAATAATAATATGCTATTATATTTAAAAATTCTTAAGCTAATTCATAATATTGCAGAAAAATAAAATTTAACTTATATTATATTATAATAATTTTTTTCTTTAAAATACTATATATTTATTATTAGTAATTCTTAAAATAGTTTAATTTATATAATTTAAAATGATAAAATTTAATTAAAACTTTAATTATTAGATGATAATAAATGATTTATATTACAAATTTTTTAAATTTATTAAAATTCTTTATTTAAATTATAAATATTATTTGTAGAAGTCATTAAGCATAATTAAGGTTACTAAATAAAACCTAGAGATTTTACAAGTCATATAAATGAAAAGAGGTAAAATTTAGTGAAATTATATTAAATCTTATTAAAAAATTTACAAAATTTTAGAAAAGGTAAAACTTTATCAAAGCTTATAAAAATGCAAAACTATATTAAAACTTTAATAAAAAATTTGTAAAACTATAGTTTAAATATTTTGCTAAATCTAAAATAAGTTTAGATAAGCAACTTTAAGTATAATATATTTAGTATTAATCAAATTTAAAAACTATTTTATTAATACTAATTTTTTATTAAAGTTTTAATATAATATCAAATTTGATATAATTTTATTTTTTTCAGAATTTTGCAGATTTTTTAATAAGATTTTGATATTATTTCACTAAATTTTACTTTTTATCATTTAAGCAACTTGCAAAATCTTTAGGTTTTGCCTAACAACTTTATTAGTAATACTATAGTAATTTAATTGAGTAATTGTATTAAGTAACAATTATTGACAAAATATTTTGCAAATAGACTTTTTGTTTTAAATTTTATTTTCATTTTAAAATATAAAGTTTATAAATAATAAACAAAAAGTAATATTTAATGAAAATATAGCAAATAATAAAATCTTTAAATAATTTATTAGATATAATACTTATAAAGAATAGCAATAATTTTTTTGATAATATTTATAATAAATATATATTATAATATTACAAATTTCAATATATTCTTTTATCAATCCTTTTATTAATCCTTTATATCTTAATAAAAATCTACTTAATAATAGAAATTATATAAAAAAAAATTATCTTTATATTTAAAACAAGTTCAAAAATTTATTGTAATTTCTGCTTTATCAGTTCCTTTAAAAAATTATTTTTAGATGTTAGTAATTTAATTATAAAAAATGTAATCAGTAGATTAAAGATAGGTATTATAATTAAAAAATGCAATAATTAAGTTCTTATAGTATAATTAAATTTATTTATAATATAATTAAGTTGTAATTTAATTGAAATTTGAAAATAATTTTAAAATAATTTTTAAGTTAGACCCTAATTATATTTATAATATTATTTTGAAAATAATTCAAAATTCTTTAATTTTTGTTTAAATTTTAAAAATTAAATATAACTTATATTATTATAAAATTAGTATTTTAAAATATTGTTTAATCAAATTAATAAAATATATATATATTAGTTTTTAATTGACTGAATTAATCAATTAAATGAATCTAATAATTTATAATTTATATAAAATAATTTATATTATATTCTATTATATAATATTAGATTATATAAAATAAACTTTTTGATCTATCATTATTCTTTTCCATTTTTTTTTATTTTATTTATATTTTTTTTTTTATTTTTTATTCTTCTTTTTACTTTTAAAAAAATATAAAAATTCTAATAAATCTTTTTCAAAGTTTCAAATAATAGCTAATTTAATTTTCTACAAATTATTTCTAAGATATTGCTCAAAAAAGACATTATATTATTATAAAAAAGCAAAAGTTAAGAATATTAAAAAATCTACTAAAAACTGGATTATAAATTTGAAGAATTTTATATTGATTATTTAATAATATTTAAAAATAAATTGTAAAATATCATCTTTATAATAAAAAAAATGTAACATATTAATTATAAAATATTTAAGAAGTTTGTATTTATAAATAAATTAATGAAAATCAACAATTTAATACTTTAAATATATTGATTAATATAATAAATATTTTTAAACAAATTATTTAATTAGATAAAATAATATAATTTTATAATAATAATTTTTTAAAATTGCAAATTCTTTAAAATATTTTTTGATTTCAAATTCTTTATAAAATACTAATTTTTTATAATTATACCTTCTTAAATATTTATTTTTACATTCAAGAATAAATAATTAAAATAATATTGTAATAAGAGGGATACCTGATTAAAAAGATTAGCTAACATGATATAATATATGTGATCTAAAGTTACATTGCTATATCATATTAGATGATAGAAATAGTAAAGATGAAGAAAACAAATTAAATAAAGATTATGTAAAAATTCAGAAGAAATCAGAATTTTTTTTTATATTATTAATCAATTATTATTTTAATTATTTATATTAGCAAATTTAGTACAGTAAGTGATAGCATAAGGTATTTACTTTTTATTAAAAGTGTTAAATTTATTTACTTATAAATATATATTATAATAAATCACATAATTTTACATTTAAACCAATCTAATTCAGAATTTAATTATATAAATTATTAATATTCATCAAAATTAAATTGTGTATTGCTTTATGTGACTTAACTTTTTTATAATATACTTGACCTGTTTAGTATTAAAACCTTTTTTATAACAATCTATATATCAGATTTACATATATTAATATATTACAATATTTTATATAAAATTTACTATGTTACACACCTATAATAAAGGGCTAAATCAGAATCAAATATAATAAAATTTCAAATATTAAAAGCCTATAACTTTTGATACAAAAATCTGATTTTAATTATCTTAACATAGTTATATAAAATTTAACTAAAAATATTAAATAGTGTTGAATTTTTTAAAAAATAATTACTGAATATTTTTTATTAACATTTAAAGATTACTAATTTCATTGGATGTCTTGTAGTATCACTTACTATATAAATAGACTTAGTTAGTGACAGAGAATTTTCAAAGAATTTTAGAAAACTTAGAGAATTTAACTTAAACTTATTACAAATAAGATAAATGCTAAAGCATATTATATGTAAACAAATATAATTGTATTAAATTTTTTCTTAATAAAATCCTAATTGCTTATTTTAAATTATATATTGCTTATTAAAATTACCATTTTATTTGTATAAACCTTCAGAGCTCTTCCTGAATATTACTTCAAGCTAAATCCTTTGTTAATCTTGCATAAAATACTAGTTAGTATTGCAAGATAACAATATCTATGTATAAATTAAATACTATGAATATTGAAAATATTATAATATAAAATATCATTGTATTAATTTGATCAATTTATACCATGAAAAATATCAATAAAAAAGTTACAGCAAATGATTAGGAACTGTGTTATAAGTAATAATTATTAAATTTTATTAAATGTATTTTATAAGTAATAGCTTATATTGTAATATGCTCAAAGTTTAAATAAACACTCTCCGTGACAAATTATTCCATAGAAAACCATATACGGCCGTGTAATTATTTATACTTGTAACAATTCATTATAAATTAAATGACGAGCATTTAGCATAATTCGTAACTTAATCTTAATCTGTCAGCAATAATCGCTGTCGGCAATTATAATTTATAATTTTTTTTTTTTTTAAACCGGTTCCTTTTTATGACAAAGTTTGTGATTTTTGCATTCATTCGAAATTCTAGAGATGTGCCTTTACAAATTTTTATTGCGCAATTTAGGGAAACTTAATAAATAATAAACGTCACAGCAATATTTAATATTATTTCTTTCTTTTCACTGATTTAGCTCTTCCCAAATTTTTCGATGAAAGGGACAACGACGATTGGTTTTCTTGTTCGGTTGGTAAAGAGACCAAACTTTCACGAGATTTTTCATTAAAACCTCGCGAAGAAGTTGGGATTGGTGATAATTTTGATGGCGAGGAACTCACTGAAGGCGGTAAGACTCCAGGCAATCCTCTATTGCCTCCCTTCATTCCCTTCCTTAACCATTTATCACCAAAGCAGGGTTGACATAATAATGCTCTCGTAAGGACCTTGAATATGGTGTAAATGATGAGTTCATCTCGATTAACTCTCCAAACATCGGCCAACCATTGAATAATGTTTAAGAGGGAGGTCATGATGATGGCAGTGATCGAGACCATATAAGTAGCTTTGGCAAATAAGGCAGCATGTTGAATCGCCATCGTGACCTGAGTTGTATTTGTAGGAGAAATCACTTTACCGAATTGATCTTCGGTATTGTGTTCGGGAGAGTACCCGTGACCGATCATGCTTTCATCAGCGAACATGAAGGGATCTAAAGCTTGCACTCTGTTAAAAGCAGCAAAACAGGCGGCCACTATGATCATTACTTGACTTAAAAATCCTAACCATTGAGATATTTGAGCGTCTAAACTTTTGATCGAAGCCGTGTAATCTTTTGCCTGAGACTTTAGTGCGAAAATTATTTGAAATGGTCCCCCGTAATACATTGGCCCCCCTACGAACTTTGGTGGCTCTTTATTTAATACCTTTGCTCCTAAATTTATCAACCCACTAAATATAAATACTCCGGTTTGTAACGTGGTTGTCATGCCGCTTATCTTTGCTACCAATGACAACTCTCCTTCCGAAAAATCCCAATCCTTTATATTAAAACTTCCCAAGAACAGGGTATAAATGAAGTCAGTTGCAGATTTGGATTCCCCGAGTAATGTTAACCAATCCATGATCAACGATGTGTAGTAAAGTCCGATGGTGATCAACACGTCAAGTTTATTCATCCTCTCAGTAATTAATTCGGTTTCTTTGGCAATTTCTTCAGGTGTATCATGATCTAAACTTTGTATACTTCTTTCTATATCATCTTTAACTTTCATATCCTCAAGTAATTCTAATCCCTCGTGTACTTTTTCTCCAGATTTAGGCCCCTCTTTACTGGATTCCTCATCTTTTTTATCATAGTCTTTGGGGACATCAATTACGATACTTTTACTTCTTTCCAGTCTCGGTTTTGACATTATATCGATATCGAACAAGAAAATAAAAAAATAAAAATAAAAAAAATGATAATCATTTGATCATTCTACGTATAAATATCTGTTATTATATGTGGCAAATAAATTTCAGTGAAAAACGCCTTCCTCAAACGCGTCTTTTTGAATTCATACACTCCCGTGACATATAATAATTCATGTATTCAATTATAAGCCTTGAACTGTTTGATCGATCCAACTTGATTTCTAAGCCATGATATGCTAAGCCACAATTTGATTTATTTGACCACAAAACTGCTAAGCCATAAAAATTTTTACGATGTTTGTATCGGTTTAGAGAATAAAATCACGTAAAACAAATTTTTTTTTGTTTCTTTTTTATTCTTTTCTTTCTCTTTCCGTAAAGAAGCAAATCGTATTTGAAGCATAGTCAATCGTCAATCCCTTCCCGCATTTACTTTATAAAATTCATCATATTTGTACTGGTGAAAAAGTCCGTAATTTTTAATTTTTACACGATAAACAAGGCCTTTATTATAATCAGGAGGGATACACCTGGAATCAAATGTATTCGAAACAGTCAATCTTGTAGCAATAAATTACAATTGGTTTTTTTTCGTACGACGGTAGTGACAGTTTTGTGCTACAAAACATCTCATCTCATAATCAGACCATGGTGAATTTCATATTATTTTCTCCTCTTTACCCATATTTCATATATCCATACGTGTTATGTACTCGTACGTAGTGTTATGTTACGTTATGTATACGTTCGGGTTACGTATGATTTGCATGATTTGCATGAATTATTATATTACATTGAAACAATCAAAAATTTAACTATTTTAAGTAGATCCATTGAAATCAACGCAATTAGTGCATTACATCGCCGTCAATGAATACTTTGAATACAGTTAGTTTTTTTTTTTGAAATAAATTCATAAATACGCTCAAAGTTCTTCCCATAAAAATAAAATAAAATAAAATAAAATTCATTTGCTATGAAATTTCATATTTTGATCCTCGCATGTTCGATTATTATTTCTCTCGCTTCCGCGATCGATCATCACAAACCAAAAACTTTCAAGTCGACGCCATTTATCAATTCAAAGGATTCAAAATTTGGTCCTCTAATTGAAGGAACCTCGGTCAACAAAGCTGGTGAAGCGTTTGCGACCTCATTCGGTAACAAATCATCTCAGATCGCCCATATTACACCGGAACAAACGCTTTATCATGCTTCCCCGAGGGACACCACTTACTTTAATGGTATAAGATTTTTACCTTTGAGTAAGCAAGATGAGGAAGCTGGGATAAAAAATATTTTGTTGGCTACTAACCTTATTGAGGAAGAGATCACGAAAGTTATGGAAATGGATGATGGAACCACTAAACAAGAAACTTTTTGTAAAGATGATAGTTTTATTAAACCAAATGATTTGACCCTTTCGAAGTCGACCGGTCGTATATACATCTCTGGACAAAATTATTCTACAACTACTAAAATTGGTGATGGTGGCCTTTGGCTTTGTCAACCTGACGGTAAGGCGATGCAACTTTTGAAATTGGAAAGGACAAACGGTGTTGAACTCTCCCCCGATGAAAATTTCTTGTACGTGTCCGAAGGAGCCAATCGAAACAGTGATTTCGCAATTTCCAATAAAATTTGGAAGTTCAAGGTTGATCATGAAACTGGGTTCGTCTCACAAAAAGAACTCTTTGTAGATTTCGAAAAACTTGATGGTACTCAAACGTGGGAGATTGATGGTATACGTACTGATATTGAAGGAAATCTATATGTGACAAGATATTTTGGTCAAAAGATCGTTACCTTTTCTCCAAACAAAAAGGTTTTGTTCGAAATTGATTTGAGTTTTAAAAATCCTACGAATTTAGAATTCGCTGGGAAAAATGGGAAAACCTTGTTTATTGTTGGAAAATGTCCTGATGATGAAACTAAGGGTTGCGTAGATAAATTTGAGAATGATATACCCGGTAGAGCGTTTACCTACCTTAACGCTCATTAATCTCACCGTTTTTTTTTTTTTTTTTCTCCCAATTATTGGATTGTAATCTTTATTATTATTTTTTACTACTCTATTATATATTATGAAATACTTATCGTTACTTGATAATAAAAATACTAGCGTTTTCCGAATCTAATGATCGATCTAATATAATAACGTTCTGTAAATCTTTGATATGATCTTCCGAAAATCATTTCATTTTGCGTTTTGTTAACCCCTGCATCATATCAAATAATGTTAATTCTGCTCGAGCCAACTTGTGTAATAAATCATAATGGTTTCGCATTTGTTGTAACTGGATTAGTACTTTAAATTTAAATGTTAAGGTTATAGAATAGGGATGTTAAATTGCTAAACCAGTTCAGCTTAAGTTCGGCTCAATACAGCTTTAAGCTTAAGCTTTTTTGAGAAAATAAGCTTCTGAGCGATTGAGCTTACAAACACAGATGTATTATATAGTTGGACTTGATTTACTTAAGCGGGTTAGTGTAAGCTCGCTTATCTTATGTTATTATATAATAAATCTTTATCAGATTTATTTATCGAATAATTTTTAATAATATCTGCTTCATAGAGCTATTTTGATCAAACGCGCTATATATATACTTTTTTAAGCTCAAATTGACAAACGTGTTAAGCAAGCTCAAAGCACGTTTAAAAGAATATTAAAGCTAGTTGGAAAAAGCTTGTGCTTATACTCAGTTTAAATATGCGTTGTTGAAGCAATTTAACATCCCTATTACAGAATTTGCTACCTTGAACAATTTAATCGTGTTAATTGATTAACAAAAAAAAAGTAAATTATCAAACCTAAAAAAATCGAAAATTCATATAAAATTACAAAAGTATTTTTTTTTCTCGTTTTTTGAAATTATTTAATTTTCTTTCATATATGTAATAATAAATTTAATTTCTTTATTTTATTATTTAGATAAAATCTTAGATATTATTTAAAATTTATGTATTTTACCATTATTATTATTAAAATTTATCATTGTCTATAAATATAATATTTTATTAAACATTATAATTAATATTTTAATTAAATAAAAATTATTATATTTTGGTGGGAAATATAATATCAATACAGGAAAATCTCAATATTGATGGCAATCCCTTTCTAACAGTAGCACATCAAAGCAATAAAACTTCTACGAATAAATCATTTGCGATTTTGCTTTTATATTTGGAAGAGGACATAATGGTAATTTAGAAAGAACTCAGCATTGCTGGTTATACTAATCAAGCAATGGCGGAATCTCTCCAAAATTCCACATATGAATCGTAAACTTAGTCACATGAGCCTTTCGATGCATCCAAGCTGATAATATGCGTATTGGAGTTTAACACTGGTTAAAATTATGGTAATTTCATTTAGGACTTTGGAAAATCACATGCTAAATATTGATCCGAACACTAATATACGTAAATACGTTATTTTATGATGTGATAAATAATAATAGAATTGGTTGAGCCTGACCCATTTGCTAGTCTAATAACTTTTTTAAGAAAATATCATCTGAGAAGAATAAATACTATTACAAAAGAAGTTATTAACTTGTTATTTAACGCGCTATTTTTGATTTATATAGCCGCATACACGAAATTGATACAAAAAAAAAATACTGCACATATGTTAATTTATTATTTACCAATTGACTAGCGTAAAAATAACACTTTTATATTGTCGAACTAAAGTTCTTAAGGCATGCATAGCATATTCAATCATGATGAATCTGTTGAACTGTAAAATATTTGGCAGAGAGAATCATTATCAAAAAATCCTTATTTGGGTCATATTTCTTTTAGATATTCTCAAATCTTTTGATGCATTTTTCTAAAGTTTTACGAATGTAATTTTTAATCTCTGAAATATCTTTTCAAGTTTTGGCCCAATGTGGTCTAATATCATAATCAATAATAGCGAGCATACATGATAAATGGTCTGTTAATTGTTTTCGATATAATTGTTATCGATATTATCGATAGAATAGTTATATTACCTTGCAAGGTATTTGTATTTGGTCATTCATCGTTTAACAATCACATTGCAAAATTCCTTATAGTGTTTAGTATCATTAATAGAAAGCACTTCAGGAAAGAAATAATAGGCTTCAGAATCCTTATCGTACGCAGCTGACAAGAGAGCTTTTGAGCTTTTAAGAATCCGAAATTCAAAAGATAAATTAAGAGGGAACTTATTATTATTCTAATATTCATACATCTATTAAGAGTAATATGTCAAAATTTATTAAAAAATAAAATAAAAATAAAATTCTTGAAATATAATAAATGAATACATACGAGGTCAACTATATAATTCAGTTCTGTGATGACATTACCAAAATCCTTGTCAACTTTAATAGCAAATTCCATATCTTGACAAAGTATGTTACCAATTCTAGCCTGATAATGAATTGCATCTGGTGCCTCCCATACCATATCACGTTCTTTCAATCTAATTAAACTGGCAATATTAGTGACATATGGAGTCAATGACAGAGATTTTAGAAGTTTTTTGTAAAAATTATCAGCTATATGAGTAGAAGTCTTTTGGGCAAGGCGATAAAGAGTTACTACTAATAGATTTAGATCGGGTTCATCATTAGATTTTATCCATCTTTTTACCCAAAGTTTGTCAGTCAAAGAATCAGTTGATTTGTCTAATAGTGAAAAGGTTAAATTTAGAAAAGATGTTATCATGCGATCATTTTGAAATAAAATGATCCTCATATAAATACCTGATGCATTAAATGGCCAATAGAAGATTCAATTCCGTCAGATTCAACCACAATTTTTTTAAGAACTTCTTTAGAGAACGTTTTCAAATTAAGGAAAGAATTCGTTATTCAAAGGTTATATATTGGCTTAACACGCAAGGATACTCTGTAAATAATGCCTAAGAGCCCTATAAGAGCGATTGAAGTTTTACCATTTTTAGAATTTAGTGGATAATAAACTAATTTATATTTTAATAACAAACATTATAAACAATACGAACCCAAATTAACATGTGCAGCTACTATCTCGTTAGGGTCTATTTTATCCTCCGATTCTAATATTATCAAGAATGGTCATAAACTCATTCGTTAATAGCGGATCATGTTTTCTGAGGAACTTATCAATTACTGAGATTTGCGCACCTAGCTTTACAAAGTTAGCCAATATAGAATGAAAATGCGATTATTTAAGCTCATCATGTAACTTACTAACTTCCGCATGAACTATCCAATCTTCATTATTTAGTTATTCCGCAGTAATTTTTGATAAATTATCTTTAAGAGCAAGCAAAAAGCTATTTGTTCTTGAGAGCGAACTCTAGGAATGTCCTTCAGTAGCATACCAAATATGTAACTTTTCGTTTACTGCTTTTTTTACAAAAAAAATCAGCTCATCAAGGCTTTTTAGATAGGTAGTATACTTTAGTGTAAAAACAATATCTTGTGACCAATTCTTCCATTGTTGATTTTGAGTTACAATTGGCTCATCAGAGCTGATAAATCTTGCTAAATCTTCCTTTTCCTTTTCTAAGTGTAAGGGCTTCACTTTGAGTTACCTTTTAACATCCCTGATGATAAAATCTTGACTTTTTTCGATAGTGTCAAAAATTATATCTTCAAAATCCTTAAAACTATTTTTGAAAATTAATTCCATGATTAATCAAAATTATTAATTAACAATGAAAACTATCAATATCAATAGATAATATCAAAATCTCATTTACTGTTACGATTTATAGGAAATTTATAAATTTTTGTGTGAGGCTAATTTAAGATATGATGCGAGATCATTCATTTCATGTATTGATTTTAAAGATTATCGAAGCCATGTCAACTTGTAAATTCTATTGTTTAAAATCGTAAAATAGTTAATCTATTGAAAAATGATATATTTAATAGCCATACAAATAATCAGATGGCAATCATTTGGTGATTGTAAATATTAAAAATGGAACTGATTCAGTAAAGTTTTATTGTTCTACAATTTAGTACCATGAACTAATGCATTATACCATGTCATCTTTAGCAATTTTATTTTAAGTATCATGTCGAGGAACTGAGCTTTCTCATACATCAACTGGTTTATACAAACTGCTTTTATCTTAACACATTTTATATTCGAATATGCGTGTGCTGTAAAACGTTCTATTAGTTAAAATAGAACAAACAAATAGTATATAGTACAATTTATAATCACCAAGTTGGAAAAAATCTGAAAATGTGTTTATACAGAGGTTGTGATTATATAGAGGTATTTTATATAATCTTTATATAAGTTGTTTTATTGCGAAAGTATGATTATATAAAAGAATTTTATTAAATATGAAAATTGATCTTACGTAATACATGCAACTATATTTTATTCCAAGTACAAACTGATTTGATACTTTCTTGACAGGACCTGTACTTTATTTAAAGTTCAACTGTATTATAAATAAACAATGCGTTTATTGATACAATCAATAACCCTAAATCATTAAACTATTTAAATGATAATGTTATGAAAAATTACAGAATTTTTCAACATGGGAAAATAGATTTGAAGATAGTTAACAAATGACGTATTTTTTAAAGTTGCTAAAAATAAATACGGTCCTTTAGATTTTGCGAAATGGAATAAAGAAAATTTGGATTACTGAAGAGAAACTTCCGTAAGTTCTGACATTTCCAAATCCCTCTTCACAACAATTGCACGAAGTTTTCGTCAAAAAACTCAACTGACACAATAAGTGTTCTTATTTCAAACAAAATGCAATACTAATATTTTTGTTGCACACGAGTATATACATTATGGCTCAGCTAAAATAGATCACAATTACTAAATGGGCTTCTGCTTTATACACAGATGATAATTCTCAGATGAAATGATATTTAAGATGTTGATATCTTTGATATCTGTTCATCCCTGGGTCTTATGAATAGCTCAGAAGAAAACTATTGCATAGCCAAACGGTTCTGCACTAAAGCCTGTCCAATATGCTGATTGATATAATAATTAATTGATATTATAAAATCAGATGCTGAATATTTTTTCTCTTAATAAGCAATACTATCAATTCATTAAGAGGGAGTTATAAATAACCAAAGTTGAATAAATAAGAATTCTTTTTTCTAGCGCCAATCTAATGAATACATTTTTAAGGTAATTTTGGCAACATCATTACATTTCTCTACCTTTAAATAATATCTACTATTGAATCTTCATCTTGAGCAAATAACCCACATCAGAACTTTTTATCTCAATTGCATATTTGTATCAATACCATCTAACCATATTTTCATTGAAATCTATATGAATAATATGAGACTTAAAATTTGTGAAAAATAAAAAGTATCAGATTATATTAATGCATGGAATAATAGGACACAGAAATATATATTTAGGTAAGGTTCACTAACGCATAGTAGCATTAGATAAAGTAAGGTCTAATTTGATTTACGTATTATTTTAGTTTATTTAACTATAGTTAGATTATTAGAAAGTGTATTTTTGATTATGTTTTTATTAGATAAAGGGTTTAATTTGCGTATTTTATTTAAATTTAATAGATTATATATTGCATTATTAGAATTTTTTGATAGTAATTTAAAGTTTTAACTTTTTGACTAATAGGGATTTTGACTAGAACTAAATCATAAATAATTATTAATATTGTAATATATTATAATATATAATATTAATTTATTACTAGATAACAGTAATTATGCTAATCTGAAACATAATTCAGATAACAGGATTTATAAGAAAATCATAATTTATTATTATATTTGATTTTTTTAGTATTCAATTTTAATATGCATAACATGATATTAGCAATGCAGAATTCTAATAGATAATCAATATGTAGGACAGAATGACATTGCATTTAATTTACCTAGTATTTGATTATCCTCTGCTATGCTTCTGACAAAAATTTTGTATTACAATGGTTTACCATCTAATTATTATAAGGATATTAAAGTCAATCATTTTTTAGACTTTTAAAGTTTAAAATTTAAAATACGTAATATTATTTACTGATCTATATTAATAATTAGATTTTATAATAGCTTTTAAATTTTTAACTATTTTAAATATTATAATTAGAATTTTAAATAGATTGGATCAGATCTGATAAATCAAATTACCTAACTTGAAGGTATTAAGTTAATCAGCAAAAATCTGATTAAACTTAAATTTTATTTAAACTAATCTAATTTGATCTGATTAAATCATTTAAGAAAATAATTCATTATCATTCAAATAAAATAATACATTATTATTTTTTTTAAACAATTTATTATTATTTAAAAAAAATAATTCACTATTATTCTAATTGAATGATTTATTATCATTCATAAAAAATGATTAGTTAATCTGAATTTTATCAAGTTAGATAATAAATCAATCTGACTTGATAAAATTTACTATTCTGATCTGAATTTTTAAATTAATAGATAATAGGTTTATTTAACCTGATTCAAATCTTTAATTATAATTATATATTTTATTAAACTTTATATTTGAATATTTTATTTAAAAAGTATATTTTCATCATTTATTTTATAGTTAAAAATTTACTTTTTATGTACTTATATTAATAAAATAATTTTATATAAAAATCATATAACTTTAAAGATAAAACTTAATTTACAAAATTTTTAATAATAGAAATTTAATAGATACCTAACCTTTATATATATTTTTAGGTTCTACTATAAGACTATAATTAATATAATAGTTTAATGTCTTCTCTCCTATTTTTAAAAATTTTGAAATTAAATAAATATAATATATATTTTAAAAGATATTAAATTAAATTTTTCATTAAATTTATCACTAAATATTATTTATTAATTTTTTATCAAATTAATAAAAAATATTTTAAAATATTATCTTTTAATAATATATAGACTATTAATAAGACAAAATCTATTATTTAATGATATATTATAAATTTTATAATAAAATTTATAAAGATATATTAAAAGTATTTATGAAACTTTTAGAATAAATTATTAATTATTTAACTAATATTTTGATTTATATTATGCAAAATTAAAGGATAATAAATATAATTTATCAAATATTTTTTTAAATTTAATAGAATATAAAGCTATTTTTAATTATAATTAATTTTATTTGTCAAAAAATATATAATTCTTGATAAAAATAGCAAAAATACATTTTAACAGTATAAATAAACTTTATTTTTAATGTAGCTCTTTATTATTTATAAATAATAATTTTTTATTATTTAATTAGTAGTTAATATATTTGATTTTTTATATTAATAAATATTTTAATTTAGTTTATTTAGTTTGCATATTCTTAATATACTAAAGTAATATGATATTATTAAGACATCCTATATTTGTTAGATTATATTAAAAAAATACTTTACAGATAATATTATTTACTATTAAATATTTATCTTTTCTTTTAATACAACTTATATATTTTTAATAAAATTTAATTCTAAATTATATGATAATCAAAAAAAAACTCTTTTTAAAAAATGTTTTTTATAGTTTACTAAATATTTTATAAAATATATCTAAATTATTATCTTATTAGAAGACTTATTATAATTATATAATATTTATAGTATTATACAGATAGTTATCAAAAATTTTTTAATACAAATATTAATTCAAATTTTTAATAAATAAATAAATGCCAAATTTTTTTTTTAATATTAATTATTTTTCAAATATGAATTTTGAAGGATTTTATTATAAAAATAATTATCATATAATGGGAACTATAATACTTTAGATATAATACAAATTTTAGGAAGTTAAAGGCTATACTCAGGGTATATTATACAGAGGAATATAGTAGGGATACTGTGCATAAGAGGAATACAATCAACTCTTGTTATAACGAATTCTATATTCTAGATCTCAACTTCGCTATGAGGCTATAGTGAAGATTTTAAGAGATTTGATTGGCAAATTGCTATAACAAGAGTATTTTTATTATATTTGTTAAAAAAATTCATTATATTAAGAGTTCGCTATATTAAGAGTTGACTGTATAAGGTTTATAAAGTACCCAGGATATTTGCCATATATAATACTCAGATATATTTATATTTTAAAAGTAAGGTAAATTATCTTTTTGGGAAAAAAGTTTAATAAAAATCACATTTATCTGTTTCTTCTCTTATTTTGTATAATAAATCCTTATAAATAATAAATGCATTTTTATTTCTTTGTCTTTTATTTGTGATGCAAATTATTTTAAAATAAAAATAGTTATTATTGGAAATAAAAAAAATAAAAAAAGCACATAATTGTTTATCACAAAAGAAAAGACAACAATAGAATGTAAGAGAAAAATTAATGGTGATGCATTTTTTAGAAAATAATAGAGGAAGTAAACGTGAAACTGCTAAATATTTTAATATTCAACTAAAATAAGTATGAGAATGGAATAACGATAAAGCAAAATTATTGGCATGTGCATCTCATATTCTTAAGCTTCATCTGGGTAAATCTGCTAAATATACAGATTTGGAAAATAAATTATATACATGGATTTGTGATAGAAAAATAAATCAAAATGTTGTTAGCTAAAAAATAATTACCAATAAAGCAATTATACTATCTAAAAATCAGGATTTTTTGGTAAATAATCTGAATATCATTTTATTTAAATTTTCAAACAAATGGCTAAGTAGATTTTTAAGAAGATATAATCTTAGTGAACGATACAGAACAACAATAACAATTATTATAAGACTTACTTGAAAAATAAAATAATTTTTTAAGTTATATTTTATATAGAAGAATTCAACATGACTATTCGTTAAAATATATAGGTAATATGGATGAGACATTTTTATAGTTTGATTTACCAAATAATTTTACTATATATCATAAAGGTATAAAAATGATTAGCATTCGTATTACAGGTCATGAGCATTCATATTTTATAGTTATACTTGCATATATAGCTGATGGTAACAAACTTCCAGCAGTTTGCATTTTTAAGTTGAAAAATTTGCCAAGAGAAAATTTTCCTCAAGGTATTCA